TCCCGTACAGGCCTGAAATTTTTTTCAGGTCTGATTTTCACTATTGCTCAAATAGTGCTTTACTGCGAAGGATCGTTCTCATATACGTCTCATAACCGCAGTTCACACATATGTTTCATATGTTTGTTGTTGTTTGATTTATCATCTACGGGTTTATATCGAATTAATTTGATGGCCTGCTCCCAGTTGGCTTGTTAGCTCAATTGGTAGAGCGCTGCACTAGTATCGCAGAGGTCAGTGGTTCGAGTCCCGTACAGGCCTGAAATTTTTTTCAGGTCTGATTTTCACTATTGCTCAAATAGTGCTTTACTGCGAAGGATCGTTCTCATATACGTAACATTAATTTAGTTAATTTTACAAGTAAGGTTTTATAACACAGACACGGCAAAGGCAGATTTTCAAAGTTGATTTTTGCAAGAACTGAGAAATCATCTTAATTGGAAATTACGAATAAAAGCCTTGGTTTCAAACGAAAATAGTGACCTAAAAATAAGTAGAGAACTTGGTATCGAACTTGTCAAGGGAGTATATGCATGCTGACAATTACGATCATTTTCCAATCTGCAAGTGAGTGAATCGAATTCAAGAATTAACTGTGGTGAGCAATAAGAAAACAGCCTCGGAAGGAATCAGGAGAGTCGGAGAAGAAGTGTTGTTTAACTTATTTGCATAAAAAATTAGTTGCTTGTTTTGAATTCAATTTTGTTTCAGGTTCAGGACGACGTATTTTGCATTATTGATTGAATGGCACGGATCTTAATGCTACATGCCTGTGATTGACTTTTTTTTTTCTAGAGGAAAGAAGCTTGCTCTATCAAGTTAGAAAGATACTCTAGACTCAATCGTTAATTTCAGATTAGAAGATCTACAACATGTCCAAAAGAAGTGATATTTACAGAGAAATTCGTACAAGGGAAGATAAAATACGGTCATTGGAAAACAAAATTAAGCACCTAAAAGAACATAGTGACGCTGAGATAGCAAAGCTGGAGAGAAAAATAAAAAATCTGGAAAGCGAAAGGAAAATCCTGAAAAAGGAGCTTCTGGAGTTACAAAAAGAGGTCAGTGGTCTAAGGAAGGATTCCTCTCCAAAGCTTAAAGCATTGTGTACTATGGCAGATATGTGCGACGATGTGCAAAGCATGATGTTTAATATGATTTTCCCCGAAGATTTTAACCCGGATATATTTTACAAGGTGAAAGATATCGAAGATAAACTGAGAAAAAAATCAGAAAGGTCGAAGAGAAAGACCTGGAAAAATCTCAAGAGGGAGTTGAGGTGGGACACACAACACCTCGATACGGTTAAATATCTCAAACGGAATAGAAACCAGAAAGCACACCAAAAAAATAACCTGAGGAAACGATCTCTCATGAAAGCAGTAGAACTGTTAAAGGAACTGGGGTTTTTTAAGGGAGATCTGTCGGTGGAAGTCACAAACCAGCTGATCACCATATGGGGAACATTAAAGAAACGTTTTGGTGCCTCCGTCAATGGTAACAATCGAAATGACTCCAATCCACATCGTCGCTGTCGAAAGCGTTACGAAAACTAACAACCAATCAGGTTTCATGGCTTGTTAAAAGTAACCAGTCAAATTGCAGGAAAATGAAAGACAGCTTTTGCAGCTGTTCACCAACCAGCTCAGTCCTGGACCACTAAAACATTGTACAATTATTTGTACTGATTTTTTCGATGTACAATTTGATGTAATAGAGTGGCAACTGAACTTGTATCGTGAGATTTTGGTCTGAAATCATAGTTTTGATTTCAAATCAAACTCAATCTGTGCGCTTGTTCAGACCAAATTACTCTCGACTCAGTTCAATTTTCATTATTAATAACAACAACAATAACAATAACTTTATTTCTATAGCGGTAAATACAAAAGCTCTATATCGCTTTACAATCTAATAAATATCTAACTAACAATAACACTAGGACAAAAATCAATAAAAACCAAGTCTCAAAAAATAAGTTTTCAATCTAGATTTAAAAACGACGACTGATCGACTTTATTTAATGTCTAAGGGAATATCATTCCAGTGCTTTGGGGCAGCGACCGAGAATCAGGCTACATGGAATTATTTCATACTTTTACTGATAATAAACTTGATCAGTTGTCACTCATTAGATAACAGAGTCTGCACAGCCTGCTATTAGTTACACTTACTTAAAAATCTGACCTTATTGCTCCCATTTGAATTAAGCTACATTACTTTCCTGTACAGGATTACTTTTTAGATGTTTCCATTGCGTTAGAAAGCCCTAAATGGTTTAGTGCCATCCCATACCGATGATAAAGTTATCGAAAATATTCTAAAGCATTGCATTTTGCATTCTTGTGTCAGGGATCTTTTTTGTCACTCTAAATAGCAGCCTAAACTATGGTGATAAATCTCTCTGGAGGAGCACCCAAATTATAGAATAACCTACCCTTAGGTATTAGGATGTCTTTAACACGCCAACTTTCACACTAAATTAAAATTTACTTTTAGAGCATATTCTAAGCATCGCTGTACAAAAAAAAAGATCGAGTTTATGTGCAAACCCGAAACTATTTTGAATCGCTTCAATATTTTACGATCTGATATGAAACAGCCTAAAGGTCATTCTCTAATTGATTTACTAATAGATTGAAAGGAAGCCAATAAAATTTTTTACCCATAATTTTAAATGATTACATTTCTAACTGTAGATGCATTTATTCCTATAGAGCCTCTGCACATTTTGTCTTAAAGGACAAAATACCAGACTGAACGTCATAACGCTAGAGTTTACATGCACAAAAGGGGTGTTATCCGACTGCGGATAAGCAAACCGCAGAGCCTCCGGAACCAAGCGGAACCCATAATTTTCTTTTCTTTAATGAATAAATAGTAATGAAATAAAACAGATGGGAAAATCATTCACTGTTACCATTCGAAATTTTGTTTTCGGGTGTAAATAAGATTTAATTGAGAGAAATATCCATTTAAATGTCCTTGACGTCCAACGGGAAGTAATTGACTTAAATTGTAGCGGTATTCCGGCATCATTCAAGAGTATGGCATCTCTTCAAGAGCAATAAGTAGTCGCTAACCCCGATTTTTTAGTAATTCGAACCATAATTTGAAAGCTCTAACAGTTTGGAAGCTCTAACAGTTTGGAAGCTCTAACAGTACCGCTGTATCCGAAAAACGCCTCACCCCCCAACTTTCAGCGAATCTTAGGCCGGAATTGGCGGCCTTTATTCCAGTTCTATGGTACACGACCCAAGAACGAGGAACACGCGCGTGAAGTTACATCATTGTGATGTGTGTGAAATTCCGTGGTAATCGTTGCGTCTGGAGCGATCTTACAGCGTTGTGCTTCCAGTGGATTCATTCGGCGGGCGTTACTCATATAAGAAGGTAAAGTAGTCAAGTAGATGAACTAAAAACAAGCTAAATGGCTCTAGTCAGCCCGTGAAGTTCACCCGTTGCCAAGGAACAACTACTTGAGCGAAATAAGTTTGTTTGTCTGTTTGTTTGTTTTTTTGTTTTGTTTTGTTTTGTTTTGTTATGTTTTACTTACCTTGTTCAGATTATTTAAGGTCACCGTGAGAGTGCGACCGTTCTTTCCCACGCAAATTCTTATATTTCGCCTACTGTGCAACGTAAACATATTTGCATATTTTCGGAGGTTCCCGTGTGGGTTCCCGTGTGGGTTCCCGTGTGGGTTCCCGTGTGGGTTACCTGTGACTGAACGAAAAGGACAATAAGAACATATTTCTCATTTAACGTAATCTTCCTTAAACCCGAAAACGAAATTTCAAACAGTGCCAAGGTTTTTGATTTGTCTTATTTTGTTTCCCTTAGTTTTTTTTTTCATAATTTTTTTTATTAAACTTTGTGGGTGGTGCATTAGTGTAAATCTTAAATGATTAATAGCGGTCACCTAACGAGTCTAGCCCCTAACTAAGTTATTTTGGGTGACCAGCTACTATATGATTTACATAAAGTAAAGTGATTTGTGTTACTAATCGTACAGTGCGACCTAATATGTTGTTGTATTAAAAAAAAAACATAGTATCGATAATTTCAATATGGACCGGACATAATGTGACAGAAATATCTTTGATTCGAGTGAAAAATCTCACATCGACGTGTCTTAGCAATAATACGTATTGCTAAGACACGTTTGATTACTTTTCTTGTTTTCTTTTCTTGTTGGATTGCACGTTTTTTCGGCTGTCTGATGGCTATCCGCTTTACTTTGTACTTTTATTGGTACACTGCCCTAGATTGTTTCCGCCGGTAATTTCCAACGCTAATGC